AGTTCAGAACATGCCATAAAATTTGGGTTCCATATTTAAGTAAAATTACCGTAGTAACAATTGTAGGGCCGACTGAAGATTGCTGATTTTGGATGGTCTGTACAATCAAGAAGCAAGAGACACACTATGTGTGGAACTTTGGACTATTTAGCACCAGAAATGGTGGAGAACAAAGCTCATGACTATGCGGTTGATAATTGGACTTTGGGTATCCTCTGTTATGAGTTTTTGTATGGTGCGCCTCCATTTGAGGCAGAGAGCCAATCAGATACATTCAGAAGGTGAGGAATGAATAATATGTTGCTTCACCTGGTGTTTGTAAATCATTACTTTGAACCGGAACAGTTGTAGATCATGAATTTTAAATTGAATTGCACATAGGATTATGAAGGTTGACCTCAGCTTCCCTTCCACCCCTTATGTGTCTGCAGAAGCTAAAGATCTCATTAGCCGGGTAAGTTGACTAGTGAGTATGTCCACAATTTCATGTTTAGCAGCAAAAGGATATAATTGCATTGGTAAAAATGTTGCCTTAACTTTGTGCAGCTTCTAGTGAAGGACTCGTCAAAAAGGCTCTCTCTTGAGAAGATCATGGAGCACCCTTGGATAATTAAGAATGCTGATCCCACAGGTACCTGCTGAAGCTGACCGTAGTAATTTCGTTCCCATCTCTTGATGATCGAGGAATTAGGTCGCACTCTGTGTCTGATGTTATAATGTTGTTGTAGAACAGCTCGACTACTCAGTTCATTATGTAGCTTCCAACCTTTCATCATCTTTTGTAACTTCCTATCATCTGTGTTTTCCTGCACCTACCACCTTGATCAGATAAAAGTTTTCCTAATCTGTTCACATTAAGTATGCAATTACTGATTTGCTTAAAAAACCTGGACAAGAATTTGAACTCTTCTCCTTTTGGACTACATGCATTTTCAGAGTTGCTGACTACTGGCTTGTTTAATTGCAATTAAGATAGGAGTCTTTAGTTTCCTTTCATCAAATTGATAGGTTGGTTGAATTCGGCATCAATTGCCATGGTAAAATCTCCTTCCACCATCAAGTAAAAGAGGTGAACAAGTATGTCTTGAACCACTGCAGGTTGGCTTAAATCTACAAATAGCCTTTTGAAGAAGACTCAAAAAAAAAAAAAAATATCTTGGTAATTATGCTTTCTTTGGACTCATAGTTGTTACCCGCATAATATGCACATTAGTTTAACTTGGGTTTGTGAACAGCAAGACTCGGATTTAGTATGTGTTTACATCTCGTTCTTTGTATGATTATTGAACCAATCCATCGTGGGTTTAGAGGAGTCAAATCCCAATGAAGGGCATATACATTTTGTATTTCTTGAAGAATGAGCAGTTAATTGTGTTTCTTGACACGACCCCTTGGTTTTAACCCCGTTTGCCATGGCATGTTGGCACAATGAAACATAATCCAGACTCAAAGCATAACAAAATTGATCCAAGACTTAAAGCATAACAAAATTCCTCCTCTCCCTGTTCTGAATAAACCTGTCACTACCAAAGAATGATCTAAGAATAATTACCTTAAACAATTGCATACCAAGATACTCAAAAATCAACTATATTATCATCAAAACAATCTGTTTCCTCGTTAGAAAATCTCTCCTCAAATGTAGTCTCAAGAGGCTTGCAACATGATTATGAGTTTAACAAGTATTAGTTATACATAGATTTTATGGTGATAGAGAGATCATATTACAGATGCTGGTATATTTGTCGATGATGGTGGTGGCGTCACTGCTGCTGCTGCTGCTTCTGGTAGAACTATTTTCACTATCTCTTTTTTGTTGAAGACTTGGAGTGATTGAGACAGAGAGATTGATGTTCAAGTTTATGCGATTATCAAGCTTTTTAGGTTTAGCAATAGGAGCAGCAGAACTCCAATCTGTGGGAGGAGCGGCCCCGAAAATAATTGCCGAGTCCGAGGCTATATATAGCTTTCTTACCCCCCCTGTGCATGTGCCGCTGACAATACTTCTGATCAGGAACAACACACCTACTACATCGCCATTTCTTACCATCGGTTCTTCTACATCTCTGTAAATCAGTATCTGCAGAAGTACTGTATTCAAAGACTGAGCTACTGCAACCTGTGACTGCAAGGAATGGTAGAGAGGAACAAACCACATTTCACATTTATCAAAAAAACCTACTAAGCAAATTTAATCCAAAACATATGTACGAAAGAAATTCAGTGCAATTTTTTTTCAAGAAAGTCTAGGATAGTCCAACTAAAATAGATGTAGAACGTAACAATTGTTCAAAACTCATGAGGAAATTACATCAGTCAAAAATAAATTAGTGAAAAATCAAATGACAAGGGATTTTGTTCTTAGTAGTACCACCTTGAAGAACACTCTTTGGGGAGATGCCAAATCTTGGAGCTACAGAACCACCAATTTTGACTTCTTTTACATTGCTGTTGCTTCTCTTTACCAATCTGTAATTGGAATGGTCAAATCCGGTGTCCTTGTCGCCAATGCAGTGGTTGTTGTCTTTGCTGTTGGATTTGTCAGCAACTGCACTGATGAATGTGGTGGTAGTGACGGTGGTGTCTCTATTGACACCAACAATGTTTTTGCTTCTATTGTTGCTATTGCAGAAATTGATGGTGATAGGGGTGGCAGATGAGTCACTGATGACATTGATTTTGGTCACTCTACTGTTGCCACTACTAGAGGAGGTAGTGGTAATTTCAGCAGTGGCAGGGACATTGTTGCTGTAGTCGGAAGAGGGAATCATGAGTTGAAGATTGGGAGGGACAGAAATAGAGAGATTGGCGATTGTATTGGTGCTGTTATAAGAATTGATAGCTGTAGTGGTGTCGCTGTGATGGTTATGGTTGTATCAGATTCTGAAATATTTTTAGAAGATTCCACATGCTTTCTTGAACGCTGACGGCCTCTGTGCATATGCCGCTCACAGTACTGGCCTGGAACCACATCTCTACTACACTCAATTTCTTCCCAGCAGTTCTTCTACACCTTCCTGGTTGAGGATCCATCATGCTGCCGTAATCAAACACCGGAGGACTAAATCCAAAGACTGAAACCAATGGAAAACAAAATGTTAATCTAGATTTTCAACCAAAAGTCGATAATCAATCTCAAAGTCGAAATATGTAATAATCTAAAGGAGGACTACATTACACCAACTTGAGAAAGCACTATCACCCCCTAAGAACCAACTCCATCCATGCAGCCACCACTGCTACCCAATTAACTATCCATGCAATCACCACCACTTTAGAAAGCACGGGTATGGGTGCCATATCTGATATGATACGGATAAGAAGATATGACAAAGTTCAAAAATATAAGATACGAGTATGACAAAGAAATGATTAATTAAAATAATTGTTTATATTTTGGATAATAATAGAATTATAATATGCTAAAAACAAAGCATATTTTGTAGTACTATTAATAATAAGGTCTAACAAATATTATTTTTTTTCATTAAAATTGAAATGGAAAAAATAAATCATCCACCATTTTCATCAAGTATCATTACATCCATTAACATTCATAATCCAAAAGTTACATAACAAATAACACAAAAAAAAAAAAAATAAATTTTATATCCCTCTTAATAGTCAATAGTCGTGAATTTTTTTTAAAAAAATTCCTGGTTGTATCTTGTCCAACTCCTAACTATGTCCTGGTCGTGTCCTAGTCATGCTATGTTGAATTTACTATTCAGAATACTTCTAATTGTGTTCAATGTGTTTACTTGTTGGACACATGTCCAACACTGCCACGCACTCCTCCGATGAGTATTCGTGCTTTCTAGCCACAACATCATCACTGTCCCCTTGAACCACTGTTCCGTACCCAATACACAACACTACCATGGTTCAAGGTTGTGATATTAGTCATCGACTCGTAGAGCTCTGGATACATCGATCGTGGCGTCGCGCTGTGTTGCGCTATCGAACAATACGTCCTAAAATAAAATGTTGAGCATGACGAGAGATTCAAATCATAATGAAACATCGTGGAACTGAACCGGTCGATTCGGTAAAAATAACTCAAGATTGCCTTAGATACAATTCGGACAACTCGGCCGAGTAGTGCGAGATTCAAGATTTATATGGATCATGTAACGGCATCATCTTGGAAGGTGCCGACTAGTATCAATATCGGCCACCACTTTAAACAATGAGCACCACCACCAACATCACTTCCTCCCTCCACCGTTGCACCAAACACCCATTACATTTGTGTTGGAGACAAGTGCAGTCCAACACAACGTGCCCAATATGCATATTCGGAATTGTGGTTAAATTACATATTTGAAACTCATGTTAATCTAAAAACTTAAAACCTGGAGGGTGTGAGCCCATTCACAACATATTACAACCATTGATTCTTGGAATGTATCCCCATTATACCATCGGACATGAACCGAGGTTGGAATCACTCTACTATGTCTGCCTTTGTATGTTTGTGTATCTGTATGATAATTGGGGGCTATCTTACCATGGTTTCACATAGCATGTCCATCATTCATTATCATCCCACTGTGGCCCTCAACATACAAGACCAAATTTCTACACATATGAATAAGTAGCAACTCCCACCCACCTTGATGAACCTAGAGAATATGGTCCCTATCCCTCAAAAGAATGGGTTGTGGTAATAGGTAAGGAAGTGCAGATATGATAGTTCTCTTGTGAATGTGTTTTCATGTGTGACCTTGAGTTGAAATCCAGGGAAAATGCCTGTATTTTTCATGTTAGAAATTGAGTGCAACAGGAAAGTTGAAGCAAAAAACAGAAGCTTCAGGAATCACGAGTTTTGTGATAAATTCGAAACACAACAGCAAGAGAAGTCTGACACTAATGGCTGTCAATAATGTGTAATATAATTCATTATTTCCACGAATTGTCCAAAAATAATAATGGAAACTAAATATACCGCAAAAATCACAATGATGGTTTCTCAAACTCCAAAAATAATATCTAAAATATCGACATAAACTTTCTGGTTTTAAAATACCATAACAAATATGGAAGATAAATGTCCAAACAATATCATTGCCCTTTATGTTTCCTTATTTTTTTCCTCGGTTTTCTAAACACAAAGGGTTAAATTGATATAGAAGTTGTTAAAACAAGGTTCAAGGTCATGGTATCGGCTATCAACTCGGAGGGCTATCAAACACATGGGTTGCGGTGTTGCGAAATTGCATCGGGCGATATGACCTAGAAAAAAGGAATTGCATATGGCAAAAAATTCAAGTCATATTGTGGCATCACGAAACAGTATCGGTCGATTCTGTGACGATCTTGGGATTAACTCTCTCAGACGAATCAGCCAAGTCATGTCAGACTCAAAGCTTTCACGTAACGTGAAGAGGTATCTTCTCAGAAAGTGTCGAGTTAGATACAACTCAGCCAACTAATATCGGTATCGGCTGATATTTTGAATCTTGGTTTAAAAATCTCACCCACATAGTTCAGGAAGCAAATTGCTTTTATACAAAAATAGCAGATGAAGGTATATATTGTAATCCTATCATATAGCAAAGCTTTAAAGAAAAAAAAAAACCTCACACTAACATGACAACCAAACCCAAATTAGACATAAATACACCTACAGAAATCTAGCCAAAAAAACAAACTTAAAAGTAATAGAATTCTCAAGAGTGGGACAGAGTGATCACCTTACCACAGCCTTCATGAGGGCACACATAATCTCTGGCTCCGGTATGAAGAGAGTGTCTCTTTTACTTCGAACTATCCAAAAATTTCTGCAAAATAAGCCCATGATGAATTAAATGGTGCTTCATCAGTCCTAACAAGAAGGGGAGAAGCCAAGAAGGGATAACAGGAAGAAAGAAGCTGAACTGATGAAGAATAAGGCTGAAAGCAGAATAAAACAAAGCATAGCATATTTCATTTGCAAGCAAAATTACTTTACATTTCAGATTATTCGGTGATGCAACGTTGCCCCTGGTTTGCAGAGTAGGTAATCCCAACTATAATAGGACTCAGACTCCGTCTAAGAAAAACTCACACTTTGATCGATAAATTTACATAGAACTACTGACGACAATATGTGAAACCAAGAACCCACCTGGTAACAATAGAAAGCATGTATCACTTCCAGATTGCAACATTAGAAAACATTTACACAAGCAATAGCTTACCAGCCTGAAAATAAATACAACTGGAACTATAACTCAACAAGGCAAGGCCCCAAATGAGTACAGTGACAATTTTCGGCACGAACTGGATACGAAGTCAACAGGCTATGATTGACTCTTTATTGACATGAACCAGAAAATAACACAATTTGCCGACACTAATAATAAACAGATCATGTTTGGTTCCAACCCACGTAACCCAAAATTGACACCTTCAACCCATTTATTTATCCATGTCAACCCTATAACAAACCCTAACACAATTCGTATGTGATCAGTTTAATTCAAGTATAAATGGAAAAAAAATTGCACAACCCCAATATCATCCACTCCCCTTCAGCGCCTTTTGCTCTTGTTTTCTGATTCTCTCTCTCTCTCCCCTAACGTCCCTCCTTTTGTGTCTGATATTCTCTCCATTGCTCTTCTCCAAGGTTCTCAACCATCCATTCTCCGTTACTACGGCATTGCAAGCAAAATTTATTGACCAAGATAGATAAATCAATATCTCTTCGAAAGCAATAATCCACTATTTCAGGATTTTTCCATGTTCTTTGTTATTGGCTTGCCTTCATAGCTGTATATACACTAGAGAGCTTGAGCTTGACAACTGCCAAAGAATAATGACTGCAAAGAGATTGTCCAACTGGATGTGGCAAGCACTTGCACTATGAATTGCATCAAGTTTCCATCTTTCTCTCTTCTTGCATTTCTTGATTGGCTTTGCTTTTAATTGAATTCATTATCAGGACATAGTTCATTATCTTTGGATTATGAATTTTGGAAAATGTTAAAAAATTTCATTTTTTATGTTGCATCTGATCCTCATATTTTGGAAACTGATGGAATTGTTCTAAATCTTTTGGATTTTTTCAGTTGAATCTTTGATTAGTGTTTTTCTATTTGAACCTGATCCATATTTCATTGTTGGAAGATTTTTGTTTCGATTAATCGTGTTGACTGATTGATGGGTTTGCAGGTGATGCATACCAAAAGACAACCCATTTATTAAACGGGTTTTGCGAGCAGAGTTGGGTTGGTGCAATTACTAACAGTTCGTATTAGTATTTGAGAGGCTTGACACAATTGATTAAATGGGTCATGTTCGAGTGGTAGGGCCTCTGGCACAAACTTGAAATGACACGACTCAAACATGACTCCTCCCGGCTCGAATCGATTGTCAAACCCTATAAATGAGCCTTGTTTTTATATCCAACCAACTTCACAGGTTTCTCTGTTCCTTACACTCATTTCTCACTTGAGGTAGTCCACGTAGCCAACTACATCTTCCGGCTGGACATCCATTTATATGCCCATAAGTAGTTTCCTACCACATCAATAGAACTCTCTCTCCCCCCCCCCCCAAAAAAAAAAAAACACCACCACAAATTATGACAGATTCCAGAAGCAGTTTACGACCATATCACAAACTAAGACAAAACAATAAGAAGCTACCTCTTCAAAGCTCAAAATTACACCCATCAATTTGCAGAAAGATGCTAAATGAGCTAACGTGCATCATGACCACTTTGTGACTCGGTGGTATAACAATCCACCCTCACGGCGTTGTTGAGGGATCGGGCCCCAAGATGGTAGCTGGGGTGCATCTGCAAATGTTGGGCCACCTGAGGTTTGACCGGGTTTGGTGAAACATGTGCCAAAGAAAAACTACATGCTAGAGGTAAGTTTTTTGCCAAACACAAAAAGATCATGTTACCAGCTACTTCTTGGGAAGTAAGTGATTGGTCTTCATAGTAGAATCAGTACAAATTGTACTTTTCTTCTAATGCTTCTTAAAAACAGTAGTGGGTCTACGTCTCCCAATTAGTGGACCAGTCCCATGTAGTCCCTATAAGGCAACAAAGTGAACAATGTACAAACCTTTAATTCATTACCTTTCCACAATTCTCATAGTGGCAAACAAATTGTCTCTCTCCATGGATGTGAGAATGTTACCTCAAAGCTCCAGCATCAATAAATGTCTTTCCACAGCCTTCACAACTACAAAGGAAAAGAACTTCAGTAGTTGGTTCAGGTTCGGGTTCTGCTGCCTCTGGTTCTTTCGATTTTTCTGTTATGGCGTTCAGTTGCGCCTCTAATAAAATAAAATATGTAGAAAAGACATATAACGGGAATCAGATTCCAAAACCTGATTAATTTTTTTTAAAAGAAAAGATATATATATATATATATATATATATATATATATATATAAACACACACACACACATATATATATATATAGAGAGAGAGAGAGAGAGGAAAGACATCATGCACAAAAATTCAAATCATACTAAAAACTCCAATGTTTTGCACAAACACCAACCAACCAGTGAGTTTGAGATTCCTTCACTCACTCGATCAAAACAGAAACTCATTTGTCAAGCACCTTCATCGGACAATATAAAGACCAGCAAAGAATTTCTTTCACATGAAACCTCGTGCAACTTACATCTATCATGCAGACAGCACTCCCATAATCAGCCACAAAGCCACTATACAGATCCCAGTTAACTTAAAAACCAACAAAACCTAAAGATATTTGCTGCACGACGACTTTGCCCAGATAGCAAGTTACCCCAAAAATTATCAAGCACGAATTGGTCAACAGTTTTTTTCTCCCTTTGGTGAAAATGACGACAAAAATTTGAAATAAATATTTGTGCAAGATACATAAACATGCTCCATATCTTTGACAATCATGGATCTGGTTTCCACCCCCAAATAAGGAGGGCGGGTATGTGTGTACGTGCACGCGCGCGAAAGAGTGAGAGAGTAAAACAGATGCACTCTTTTTGTGTAATAATTAACGGGGGACACTAGAACCCTCAATTCCAAGGCCCCCCCACAAGGTGGTCAAAATATTCAGCTTGGGATGTAGGTAGAATTACAGTTTAAAGTTTTAAACACACTAATTACATGCTAGTGACTAACAAATAGATATCATTTACTTAAGCACATGATCATTCTTCAGCCTCCTCACTCCAACTAATAAATACCTACGAAACAGACTAGTGCATCTTAATCTCAAATAGGCCAAGCAATTCTACACAAGACCAGCAAACACAACAGAAAATCGAAAAAAATCACTAGGTTTGGGCTTAGCTTAGCGGTTTGGAATAGTTAATAGTGGACCCGCCAAATCACTTTAATAAATGGATTGACTAGCCCACCTAAACATGACAGAAGCCCGACTACTCTTGACTATGAGCATGTTGCATATTGGTTAAGGTGTTGAACAGATTCTGACATGACCCAATTTACACTCAAAACGACCTAACATAATATAACCCCTTTGCCAGCCCTAATCTCCAATCTCAAGCATACTCCAATTGCTACTTTCTAGGCTTCAAATTTAACTCCATTTCAAATTTTAAAAATTAAAATATCAATATTTACAAAAAAAACCCATAAAAAATAGCTTCCAAAACATACAAAGAGGAATAAAGACTCTCAAGAATTGTCAAAGGTGATGTCTCCAAATGATCGAGAGATAGTGCTCCACAAATAAAACTTATAACACAGTTTGAAATACATTCAGACAGTTCTCCGAAATGTTAAAATAAATGAAATAATCTTGACAACTATGTGAAATTTGAATCCCACCTACTTCGCTAAAAATAAAACAAGTACCAAATCTTCACTCAACTTTTCGGGAAAAAATAGCGGAAGTCCTGGACAAGAAAGAGAAAAAAAAAAGATGTTTCTTTCCGAAGTGCAGACTTTGCAATGCCATGTTGGATCAAAAAGACTTTACACTCAAATGAGAAACTTAATTTAAAGTATCAAAACAACAAATACACAATCTCCCTGATACATATTGTCCAATCTAAAATGTGTTTATGATCCTCCTTCCAAGAAACACGAAGATAATACAATCAGTTCACACATTG